GATTGATTTTTATAAAATCACCCTCAAGGTCATATGTAGGACTTTGCTTTCCCGTGCAGCCATAACAAACAATTTGAGGGTCACAGCCAAAGGCTCAGCTGAGCAATATTCTTCCTTTCTGCTTTCAGAGAAGGGGTCAAGTGCAATAAAAGAAGGAAGCATAACTTTTATTTTCTTTTAAAAAAGGGGAAGACAATCTTGTAAAGCAGCAGCTGTATATTTATTTTGACCTGATGAAAAGCAAAGAAATACGGAGAGCTGAGTGTTGGAAGGACCGTGTATAGATTTTTGACACAGGTATTTGTAAGTTTGGCTGGAGTTTATTTTACATATTTTACACTTTGACTTGTTTAATGACTAAATGAATCCCTGCTAATGCTTTCTTTTCCTTTGTCTGATATTGCTTTTTTTTTTTTTTTTTTAATCTTCAGCAGTTGAATTTTTCTTTTTACCCTTTTTTCCTATAAGTGCCTTTTGTTTTGTTCTGGGAGGAATTCAGAAACTTCATGAATAGCTAAGACAGCTGCATGAAGTTGTGGCCATCACTTACAGCTGATGCACTCAGTTCCTATGATTACATTGGGATCTGACTGCTGCTGCTAAGGGAAAGCCAAAGCATCCCATACAGCAAATCTCTTTTGGTGGTCACGATCTCTCAAATCCTTGCACCATTGCCAAGTGTGCTTGGGATTGTCATTGCACTTGGGGGCAGAGAATCCCAAGAGCCAGGCAACAGCTCCCAACCTGAGGTCCAGCTCTTTTTGTCCCAGCGCAACCAAATCTTCACCCAGAAAGGGAAAGCCAACGGAATGTGCACCAGAAAGGGTCAGACCTGCAGGCACAGCAGAATTAATGCCTGCAAGCATGATGCTACTGAGAAGTGCTGAAACAACATGTGTGCTTCTAACCAGTGCAGGGCAGTCACAAAGCATCCAATTGCCAAGCTTACCAGACATCTGTAAATTCACAAAGGAGATAGAAAATATTTGAATAGATGCAGGGACCCACTGCTCAGGATAGCTGACATGTAGTGAGCCTAATGCTGTGGAACCAGGGGACTTCATGAGGAAAGGGAACAGAAAGGATTTAGAGGACTGTTCATGCGTGAGGAGCTGTATAAGGATGGGCAACTCTTGACATGCCAAAGCCACGTACACAAAAGTGCCCATCAGAACCTCTAGAGCCAGGGTAGGTAGGGAAAAAGGAAGGTAAATCCCAGACCTTATGGGAAACAGATATCTTCTCACAGCTGCCTTGAGATGTGCTGAAAAGGCTGCAAACAGGAAAGAACTCGGGAGTCTTACAAACGAAGATGCTCCCCCATCTCTCCCATCCAACAGAGAGGATCTAGAAAGGGTTGTGGGAGGAACTGAATATTTCTAAGCTGCCTTATGGACAGCTTGAAAATTGTAAATGGACAGTGTGTGCCTGAAGCTTATGAAAACTTTTGAGACGGTTATTTGAGGCAGAAGTATGATTTTGCAATCAGAAGACAGGACAATTCTGGCTACCAGCCTTCCCAGTTCAGTGGTGCAGCATAGCAACAATTAAAATATTCATTAAAAATCATATGAAGAGAAGTGGAAACAGAAATGACTATATTTCAGTGGGAATAGTGCATAGGAAGTCAATAAAGACCTTGGGGAAGATGTCTTTTTTATGTTAGGAATAAAATAAATCGCAGTGATTTATAGTTCCATTTCTCGATTGCAGTGATAAAATTATTAACACTGCTGCTATAAGGCAAATATATTTAATAAATATTTCTGTTCTCAGCGTGGGAAGGAACAGGATGGTAAATTATATCACAAGAGGAAGATGGAACAGCAATCCATTTATTACTGAAGAAGATGTTAAATAGTATCTTTCAGGAATACGCATTCTTTAAGCACCAGGGCCAGTTTTATTCTGGTAGAGGCATTCTGTGGTCTGTGAATATTAATTTCAGTGTACGTGGGAAAGTACAGAAGGGAAAAGTTTCCCCAAAGAAAGGGGACGAAATTTTAAATCATTTTCTAAGAAAGTCACAAATTTGTTCAACAGATGTAGTTTTGTAAAATGTAGTAGCGTGATGACTGAGGATCACCTGGAAGAAGTAAATCACCTGCAAGTAAATGGAGATCCATCACCGATCACATTTGTGAGTGCCGTTCAAACTAAGCACAGGTTTACACTGTTGAGTACACAGCTGGGCAGATAGGAACAAAAAGTGTGGGTACTCAGTAAGGGATTGTGTGAGAGAAAACTATATCTATGAAAGCCATCAGGAGCTGATGTGGCCAAGGAAACTGCTGTAATGAAGTAACAAAAGGAGGTTGTATCGTTTTTTGTGTGAAGAGGAAGATACAGAAGATGGGGATAAAGAAGAAATTGCCTCTGCGGAAACTACCAACGAGAATAATAAAGAGGCAGAAGGATTAAGAAATCTGGCTTCCCCATTTCAGAAGGTGTGTTCACAGAATCATAGAATAGCTTGGATTGGAAGGGACCTCAAGGATCATCAAGCTCCAACCCTCCTGCTGCAGGCAGGGCCACCAACCTCCATATCTAATACTAGACCAGGCTGCCCAGCCTGAGTGTTCAGGCTACGCAAGAGTATATAGATGATTCCTTGCAGGAAGAATCTTAGAAGCTTTAAAACCAGTCTGATCGAGGGCTGAGGTTTGATTTAATTGCTGTTTACCTGCTGATACTTTTGCAGAAAGTGCTGTTTTGTAGACCTCTCTGCAGTGCAACACAGGAGGGCGTAAAGGCAACCGCTGTCTGAGAGCTCATCTATGGTTGGAAATAAAACAGAAATTGTGACCAGTAAGGGAGATTAGCCACTGGAAAAAAAATTATCCTAGAAAATGGTAGCATTCTACCATTTTCACCAACGTCACCAATCACTTAATTGATTGTCTGCCTTTCTGGAGGGCATCCAGCAGTCAAACACAGAGTCTCTGCTTCCTTCAGTTTGTCAGTGGTGTGATGTGCACAGACCACCAGGAGATAGGATCTAATGGTCCCTTCAGTCTGTGAATGTATACCATTTCAGCAGAGCACGTTTCTGTATTGCCAACATTTCATTTTTCTAGAAGTGTCAGGCATACCTCAGAATAAGTCAGAAACCTTCCATCATTTTAAGTGAAACAAGCTGAAATTCATGCTGTTGTATCAGTGTTTACTCAGTACAATTTGTGAAAATACAACACGACTGTAGCGAAGCAAGCTTAACAGAAGTGCATTTGTATATAGAAAAGTATGTCTAGGGAAACAGGCAGCTTATATACGTGGGAGCTGGTGTTTGTGGGAGGAATCCCATGGTTACCAGTGGTTATTTGCAAGGAAATGTGAGGTTTATCTCTTCTCTGCATGCCCTGTATAAACTTATCTGGAACCTACTGAAGTCTGCAAAGGAACTATTGAATGGGTAGCTCTTATTCAAATACTAGCTTTGTTGTGAGTGTGAGAAATTAAGCTCAACAATTAAAGCCCATCAATGCAATCCTGAGTCAGGATATGCAGAATGTGCTCAGCAAGAGTGGATGCAATGGAAAGGCAGAGAAGTGCTGTGCAGCTCTCATGTCATTGTGACTGGTAGTATCTTATGGGGAAGCCAACAGTTTGGTGGGTATGAAGTTCAACATTAAAAGTTGCTAACAACAGTAGGATTCTGGCCATGATATGAGATTCCTTAGCTGCTGGTTCTTAGAGGGAAAGGTTGGGAGGCTCATAGACCCCTTGCAAGGAGATATGATGTGAGGCTTTGGGATTAGCTCCAGGGATGCATGGTTTGACCTGGGAAGACCAATCTGAACTGCAGAAGGATATGTCTGAGAGCCTGCTCTGTGCAAATACACTGCAGTGATAGCAAAACTGTCCTTCATAGGAGGGAAACCATGAAAGGATGTCAGAGTGAACTGCTCTGAAATGATAGACTGGGATTACCAGCTCACACCAGGCAGGAACAAAGGCGGCATTTGATAGAATGAAGAGACTTGAGTTGAAACCAAAGGATGAAAATGCCTTTTCATGTGCTATGTAACTTAGACCACAGAATTCACTGCTTCAAGAAGTTACTGAGCCCGAGTATTAAAAAGATTTGAAGGATCAGATCTATATTACTGACTAAACCTGTCCTATTTTTACTAATAGATTGTAGAACGAAAGTGTTGGCAGGAAGATGAATGGAACCTTATGCTTTGGGGCAAAACTAACCTCTAATTAGGGATTAAAATGAGGCTTTCATGGAATGGGGAGTTCTTTTCACATCCAGCTAACAAGGAGAAGTTTCTTGTACTGTATTTGGAAGCATCTGGCTTTGAACAGCAACTGGAAGAATTGAACCACTGAAATAAGTTGCAAATTTCTGTGTTCCTAAGCTTTGCTCTCCCCTCCCTCTGTCACAAGCAGTTTGTAATCTGCAAAGTAACCCACAAATTAAGTAATATTATCCCCTTCTAACAGAGAGTGAGTGCGTTAACACTGGGAGTTTCCAAACTTAACTTCCTTCGACTGGAAGTGGAGAGACTTAGATATTTGCCCAGACTTTGTGGTGGTTTTGCTCAGGTCTAGAAAGATGCTGCCTGTGGCAGAAGTGAAAGATGGTCTAAGTTAACTAAGATGTTCATTACTAAAAGAGACATGCTTTGAAGAGCTGATCAGTCCGAAGGGAGAAGTGCTGACCACGGTTGGATTTTTGTAGGAAGCAACATTGTTACCCTCATCCTTAACCTCATATTTTAATCTCATTAAGATAGAAGCAATTTCTTCTCAGAAAGAGAGGCAGTTCCACTGCCCAGAGGAGTGGTGGAGTCACTATCCCTGGAGGTATTTGAGAACTGTGGAGATGTGACACAAAGGAATGTGGTTTAGTGGGCATGGTGGGAGTGGGATGAGGTTGGATGTGGGGATCTTTGAGGTCTTTACCAACTTCAGTGATTCTACAGTTCTATGATTCTATGATAATGACTAACCATGTAGTCAGTGGTTGCATTTTACTCTTCTGCTGTCTTCAGGTGGTAAACTCGTGTTTACTGGTCCAGGACCTGTGGAACTACATGCTCATTACATTCTGATATCTGATGGAGGAGAGCTCCGGGTGGGATCTTCCACAGCCCGTTTCCATCACAGAGCACACATCTACCTCTATGGAAGCCTCCACTCCCCACCATTGTTTCCATATGGGGTCAAGTTCCTGGCAGTGAGAAATGGGACCCTTTCCATCCATGGTGAGTACATTTTTCCTTCTCTTTAAAAATGCTGTATTTCCATAAGAGCTGCCATACTGGGAGCTGAGTAATTTTGAAAATTTCAGCTCTAAGAAGCCAGATGGTATCAAATATTGTTTGATTCCATGATTCTTTGATTCTGTGATTCCAAGTAGTTATGAAACCTTAGCACTCACTTAGGTACTTGAAAAATGTCTGGATTTATGCATTTAAATGAATGAATGAAAGTGTCCATCCCTTAGAAACCAGACATTCATTCTGTGCTGTGTATTATGTGGGTTTGCTCTGCTACCAGAATGGGATATCCTTTTCTCCTTATCTCTCTCCATAACGGCTAGGAAGTTTCCTTCTCTTGGGGTTGCCAATAGCAAGTACTCTACCAGGTAGGTACTGTGCTGAAGCCAGTGACAAGCTTTGCCAGCTGGGGTGGGAACACTGCTTCTCTTCACAGCAGCAGCAGCAACACAGAACTCCAAGCAGCTTGTTTTCTTATTCTCCTCCATCCTCCAGCCATGCATCTTTCTGATCTCCTGGCGTTCCACGCAGCCACACCTGCTCTGCACAGGTTGTGGTCACAAGTGACAAGCCCAGAGCTATGCAGAAGAACTGTGACAGTGCTAAAAACTTCAGTCCAGGATGCCCAGTCCTCTGCTCTAACCACCATATTTACTCTGAAAGAAAATCTCACAGAGCCAAAGTGTGGATTCCTATCGTGTATAATAGACAAGGGACCTAAAGGACAGACACTGGCATGGGTTTGTGGATGAATACAGGTTCATATCGTGGGCTAGAAGAATTTGGATACACAGATTTTTTTAAAGGGCTATGAAAAATTGGTATTAAATAGACATTTCTTGTTGCTGTAGTCAGGATGTGGAATTCAGGTCCCAACTCAGCATGAATTAGAGTATTAGTGAAATGCACACATCTAGCTCTTAATTAATGGGCTGTTTTTAAAGGCAGTATGTGTCTTAGAAAGGAGAAAGGAAAAAAAAAAAAAAAGCCAACGTGTCTGAACGCCTCATCTCCCTCCCTTCTGTTCTTGCATGTCAACATTCATGTCAGCAGGCATCCGTATCCTCCAGCAGGGCTTGAACTTCCACCCTCCAGGCCCACGAGCAGAAATGTTGCCATCTGAGCGTTACTGACACGTATGGCTCTCAGTCAAAAATAATGTAAGACACCGAGGGGTACAATCTGAGCACACAGAGGGAGAAAGCCGTGCTGTGTGTGGTGATCCTGTCAGTGCCCAGCAGCTCAGGGAGGTCGGATGAGGTCGGCTGTTGGAGGGCAGTCCGCCAGCAGATGCCTTTCTGAATCAGGAGAGGGAAGCGGAAGCTGGAGGTGGCAGGGGATGCACCTAGACGTGTGCTGAAAGCTGCACCGTGTGCTTTTGACCCTTTAGTTGAGTCACAGTAGGGCTGAAATATTTCGTGCTTGCTATTGGCTTAAATAATTTCAGTCAACTGGCTTTAGCAGAAGGGCAGAATGTTTCTATCCCATTTCCTAGAGGGGCTCCGTGAAGAAGTGCTATTAGATCACCCAAGCTGAATTGACTGTCCTTTACTGGCCATTGAGTTTCACAGTTATCCCAGCTTTGGGTTTGGTAACTTGCATTAGATTAAAGATGCCTTCCAGAAAGGCTTGGTCTTTGTCTGAGGACGTCAAGGGAATCAGAAGCCAGCATTTTCTGTGGAAGCTTGTTCCAGGGGATTTGGTTAATCATCCATGTTTATATTTTATTTTTTAAGAGACATATTAAGATGTCTGATTTGAATTTGCCTGGTAATGGTTTTCAGTATGTCGTTTTCTGTGTCTTCTTCTGCTAGCTTCAAGCATCCTTCTTAATTTGACCTCTGTAAGGAAGTCAGAACTTTGTCCTTACATTGTGCACTACAAAAGCTTTGACTTCTTTGTGCTGTTTTGCTATCTAGCAATTTGGGAAAGAGAGCATAGCATCTCCTTGCTGCTGAGCTGCTTGTCCTGCTTCTCATTTCCCTTCTCAGCCTGCCCTATGGCTGGCTTTTGGGGCTCCCCAGTGAGCAGCCCACACTGCTCTCTTCTCCCTGTGCCAATGCCCACCCACCCAGCCCAGCACAGCACAGCACAGCAATGCTGCTGATGGCAGCTCCTCACATCCTGGCTGTGCCCTGTGCCCCTGGGCTGTCCCAAGCGTTGTGGAGCAGAGCTCCATCCCCTTGCATGTCCTGCGGGAATTTACAGCTGCACTGGGACCCCCTGAGCTGCCCTAACTCTGGGCTGAGCAGCCCCAGCTCTCACAGCCTCTCCTTCCCCTTGCTGAACTGCAGGAGGTTCCTGCCTGCCCATTTCTCCAGCCTGTCCAGGTCCCTCTGCACAGCTGCACTTCCGATGATGTTTTACACCCCTGGTGTACCCTGCAGTGAGCAGCTCAAAGACCAGCCATGAAGCCACTTCTAAGCTTTGCGTGACATACTATCCCAGTGCCTGGCTGCAATTAAGATTGATTCTGACCATGTAATCCACAATTTAGCACTGAAGCAGTAGCAGCTCAGTAGAAAATAAGACCAAAAGAAGTGTATTCTTTTGCTGGCTTCACATTGCTCACATCAAACAGAAATATGTTGTTCTGGCTCCAATTTAGCACCAGTCTGGCCCGTGGTATAGAACAAATTGTTGAGCACGTCAGCCTCTTTCATATCACACGTGTATATGAAAGAAACTGACATGCTCAGCAATGTATGTGATATATGTATACATCTACACATATATGTATGTTATCGCAGATCAAAATCGTTAAACAAGCAGGCTTTCAAATTCAGAGCTGTCGTGGTGAAGACAGGGCTGAATGCATTTTAATTCCTGTTCTCCTTCAGACGGGGAAGTTTGGGGGATGCTCTGCAGCTATGGTTGAGTTCAGATTGTTTAGTAAGCGCTGTCAGCTTCTTACTTTGATATGTTAATATGACTCAGGGTTTCCCACAATCCCCTGGCGAGCAGCAGTCCTTTGCTCCGGTGGTTGTAGCAGACTGGGAAATTTCAGTGTTGCCTTTGGCTTTAGCCAACTCCCCTGCCAGTCAGATCGTGCCACCCATAAACTGCCTGTCAATCACACGTCAGGCTTACAGGGGGGTTCGGTCAGCCGGGGCAACTCCACTTTTTGACAATGTAATTATGGCCCTCGTATCCGCAGTAGGGGCCTGAGCGGAGCTGGGAGACTTTTATTGATTGTTCAGAAGGGAAATTTATCACTGTCTCCAGCTCTGTTCACACTTTATTCCCTAAGAAGTGCTCCTGACAAGCTTTGGGAGAGAAGTTTGGCATGGTGGCCTTGGTTGTTCTTGCACCTTTGTCCTTTCCAGGGAAACTGGGTTGGAGGCACCAGTGGTGCTGAGCACTGGCAGGGATAGGGTGGGGATGCAGCACAGGTGTGGATGTCAACTCTTTGAAAGGGGAGATAACAGCAGGACAAGGGAAAATGGTTTTAAGTTGAAAGAGGGAAGATTTAGGTTGGATATCAGGGGGAAGTTGTTTGCTATGAAAGTGGTGAGGTGCTGGAACAGCTGCCCAGAGAGGCTGTGGATGCCCCGTCCATCCCTGGAGGTGTTCAAGGCCAGGTTGGATGGGGCCCTGGGCAGCCTGGGCTGCTCTGAAATGTGGAGGTTGGTGGCCCTGCCTGTAGCAGGAAGGTTGGAGCTTCATGATCCTAGAGGTTCATCCAAGCCAGGCCATTCTGTGATTCTGTGATGTTTCATCAGTGGCTGAGAGCATCTGACATTTGCAATAGCCCAGTTTCCTGTTCCCAATACTCTCATTGCCATGGGAGGCAAAAAGGTTGTAAAGATGTTTCCCATTCTGTTCCATTTCTTAGCCCATGAGGTCATTATTGCACTGTGTGTTGTTGAAGCAGACTGTGCCTCATCCCAAAGACTAGCATTCTTGCTATTTTCCTAAAACCTTGTCAGTACCAACATTGTGATGATATGGGGCATGAACATATGAGCCTGTTCTCTGTGTGTTGCCTAACAACACATTCCTCTCCAGCTAGATGAAAGATGCTACACTTTGGATTTAATAATATGCTACATACACTTTGTTCAAAGCCTTAAGCCTATGAGGTCAAGTAACGTCATGCCCGGAGAGTAATGGTTTGATGCCATGACTATTTATCATCAACACAATTACAACAGAGGTATCTGTGGTCATTTGCACTGAAATAGGTTGTGCATAGAAGCTGTGGCACCCTTTCCCTAGAGGTTTGCAGGTCCATGAATGGGTCCTGGGCAGTCTGATGTGGTGGGGGGGCAGCCATCTCATGGCAGGGGTTGGAACTGTATGAGCTTTAAGATCCCTTCCAACCCAACCATTATGTGATTCTATGACACTATGATTTCAGTCCCTTAAAGTCATTGGAAAGTCCTGCTGCAAAGATGCAAGTGGATGCTGCTGGTGGAAGATGGTAGTAGGTAATTCTTCACTTCTTAAATCTCAGTCTCCTTAAAACCAAAGAAATTGTAAGCATTTCCAGGATTATTTCAGACAAAAATTGTTTTTAATCAATTGAGCTTATTATTCACTTTAATCACATTTAATCAATAATAAAACACAAAGCATCTGTGAGCTGCACACTGTTCACCAGAGCCTGTTCATCCCTCAGGAAAACAATCATTTAATCAAATGTTTCTTGTTTTTCCTCCATTAAGTACGTGTGTATCTGTGTTGAGTTTAAGAGATCATAGACAACATGAGAGAATTTGTTCCCTTTCCCTTTCTGTGGTCACTTCCATGGGTTAGTTTTCCTTAGATGTTAGTTATTTGGTTGCAGGAGGCTTTTTGCATTCCAAACTAGCATTTTTCCTTTCAAGATGTTGACTCACACATGATGCATTTAAGCAGATGGCTCCTGAACAGAAGGCTAAAGCTGCCTTGGATCCCTTGTGTTCACTGGGGGGTAAGAGACTTCACTTAGGCACTTCCCATGGAGTAACTAATGTAGAATGACTTCTGCCTTCACTTTCTTA